CCATGTCGTCTTGTGTATATCCTTGTGTTTGAACACACTACCACCAATCACCAAATCATTGAAGGCGCAGAAGTCTGAGAAGAGTTCACCATTGTCGTTCATTTCACCGAGGGCCTCACGACCCATGGTGAGTTCTCTTCCTGTGTTGTCTCGTCCCAGCTTCGCATTCATGTCGCCCATCAGGATTTTGATATCGCCATTTGGGACGTTGTCCATTATTGCTTGTAGTTGTCTGTAGAACGCCTCCTTCTTCTCTTGTTCTGAGACGTTTGTAGGCGCATAACATTGAATGACTGTAACTTTCCTTCCTTTTGAGTTGAACCTGGCTGTCATTATCCTGGAGGAGATTGGTTCCCACTGCATGAGAGCTTTGGTTGCTGTTGGTGACATCATGATGGCCACTCCCTCGGTGTGCTCATGGTTGTCTTCTAGGTGGCCGGCATATTAGATAATAATGATGAAATGGGAATACAGCAGATAATTCAACGATGGAGATGACATGAAAATTATTATGTACGCCTACTCACTGTCTATCTCGGTGCATTATGTCAGTAAAAGTAGGACTAGGTTTCAGGATAGAGGATAGTTACCAGACAAAGATGTGAACACATTTCAACAACGCCATTAAAAATCGTCCGATTATTTATGCTGTCTGGCTGAGGACCCCATATAATATCGCTGTGAAGTGATTATTACTCATGAATTAAACAATTCATGTGTACTCGTTTTACTTATAAGAAGACTCGTTGACTAGCTGAACCATATAAAATCCATTTTCTGTCGTTCACATATAAATCCAATATTAATCAATAGCGCCAGTTGAAAGGAAATATCAATGGGGTGAGAATGATTACCACCTGTCGAAGATGAAAGGACCACCTGTACAAGCGGTAGTCTTATACAGTAGTCAGACACTAGATGTGTTAAACACTTGGTTGTTGTTGTTGTTGGGTAAGAGGTATTGGTAACCACTTTCTATGAGATGGAAAATATTCCACTCATGTTTAGTGACAATTGTCTCTTCTGACCAGGATAAAGAGACACACTGTTCTCAGGTAAGAAACGGACGTTTGTGTCACTACATAGTTGTGTTATGTAAGCTGAATGAGACATTCTGAGTCTATTATATACACCGACGAATCGACAGCTTTACTTCTGGTGCTGATGAACCAAATATCCAAAACAACAGTATTATTCCACTCTGAGTATTATTTTTAGGAAACACATTCTAGGCCTTTCTTTTCATCGAACACTTTGCGAACCACTACTTAAAGGATGAGATATTTTTTGAATCTACTCAGATAATTTCAGTATGGATCTATTATAATTGAAGTTGAGATAGACAAAGACTACTGTCTCGTAGATGAATGCGTAGGATCACAGTTACTTAGTTATCTGGTCAACAACGACAATACAGACAGGTAAATTAGTTTGCAGACCGTTTGGTAATAGAGTTGGAGACAGCCTTTTTAAACCCTACAGCTAATCAGCTTTTCGCGTCAGCCCTAATAACTACCAAATTAATACGTTGATTATTGTATGTTCTTCAATCCCACCTAAAGCAACAAGTCAGCGTCTTAAAATTGAAACAAATCGGAACATACTTTTGTAATATCAGGATTAATGCTCTACAACGAAACCTCATCTGGTTTACCAGCCGCTAATAAGCACAAAAAATAGGGAAGAATCATTGCGGGACTCCATGTCCGAAAATCAATACTATCGCCACTTCAAGAATACACCTTTTCTTCGTTGAAATCGGAGAGACGGATTAACACGGGTCGGTGAGAGCCTTCTGGAAGCCAGCCAGTCAGCTGATGTCTTCTTTAGTTGAAAGCAATATAAGGAACGAGGATATGGGATATCTTCACGATGTCCGAAACTGAGTCTACAGCTCAGATTACCCAAGAAATGAAAAGATATGATATAGAAGTGCTAGGAGCCTGTGAGAGCAGATATGGATTTGAAGTTGAATACTAAAATTATTACCCGAAAAGTCCATTGTCTTGTTCGGTCACCCAGACGACAACCACGAGCACACTGACAGTGTAGCTATCAAGACATCCCCAAAAGCGGTCAAAGCTCTTACGCGATGGGAACCAATCTTATCTCGGACAATGACATTTAGATTCAATCCAAAAGATAGGAAAGTTACAATCTTCAGTGAGACACTCTCGCTATGCACACCAAAGGAAGAAGAAAGACTTCTACAGACAAACGTTTAGTTATGGATAAGACCAAAGTCAGATAGCGACACCAAAAACCTAATGGGTGACATGAATAAAAGCCAATCTGGGAGCAGACAACACAGGTAGCGAATTCATCATGGGTCGGGAGGCTCTTGGCGAAATGAATTCGAATGGAGAAATGTTTTTAGACTTTGCACCTTTAACGATTTACTTATTGGAGGCAGTGTGTACAAGCACTAGGATATTCAAAAAGCGATATGGGTTTCACCAGACGGATACAGCAGAAATCAGATACAATTCATTTGAATCTGAAGTGCAGAGACAGCTGACTGGACACAAAATCGCAAATAGGAGCAGGCCCGGACTCAGATCATTATCCAGTCCGAGGAACTCTTAAATTCAAGTTGAAAGACTTTAAAAAAGCTGGAAGTAGATCACAATTCAAGTTCATTACCCAAAAACTGAAGGCCAAAACTACAGAATACACCTTCACTTCAGGCATTACAACAAAATTGGGGAAACCGGTGTGGAAGAACACTGGTACTCTCAGAAAGTGATGCCAAAGGAAGCCCCTGTAGCTGTCTTTTTGATGACAGAAAAGGTAAGACAATCAATGACTCCCTACAGACACTTGGAAGCTGATAGAGGAGAGAGGGGTGAGAAAACGGAAGATCAATCAATGTAGAGATGGACAACGAAAGGAGAGGCTGACTTCATTTTACTAAATAAAGTACAGAAGAATACCAAGAAAGGCGCAGAAAATTCTACGACACTTTGGGAGCTTGAACAGAACACGCCACAGGTGATACAGCACAGAACATTATATCAGATAACCAGGTCTCTATCCGAGATGAGAGCAATACAGATGATGGCTATAGAGGATAGTCGAGGGAACCTAATCATCAGAAAAGAAAAATCGGCTGGTCACTTCAACCAAACAACACCTACAAAGCGTCCAGATATCCCACCAAGAGCCACATGACTGACAGTGGATACCGATTCTCCGACAAAAGCAGAATGCTACAAAGCTACTGAAAACCGAGAAGATACAACTCCTTCAGAAGAACTGAAAACGGATCCTTAGGACGCAGAGCATATACTTACAACACTACTGCAAGAAGTTTGGACGGAAGGAAAGGTATCTATTAGCTGTGAGAAAGGCTCCCTCATCAAGCTGCCAAAGAAGGGAGAATTACGTTCTGGCAAAACTGGCGCGAACTCATGCGCCCATTCACCAAAAGCGAGATATTAAGTCGGCATCATGCTGGCAAGGCTAAAACATGCTCCAAATGCAAAACTCCACCTGCAACAAGCTAGAAAGGCAAATAATATGCTGATCAAATCACAGTGCTACACATTATCATCGAAGAGACCATAGAACGACATTCAAACCTTTATCTCACATTCAACAACTTTGTAAAGACCTCCATAAAACGATTTGGAAACTGCTAGAACATTACAGAGGATCTAGAACGTTTATCGGCCGTGGTCAACGGCTTCATGTTGATGCCGTATATCAAGTGATCCACAGAGGAAAAATCAGCAACGCCTTTGGAGTGAAGACAACAGACAGACAAGATAAAGTTACCTAGTATCACACATATTACTAATCGTAACGGACGGGATCATGCCACATACACCGCGGATGGAGACAATAATACATAAGACCGACAAGATGACCCTAGAAAATTGGGACTTCGCTAACGACTTATGTTTAATGTCACACAAACTCGGAGTTTAAGTGAACACAAACATGATCAAAATACCTAACCACCACAAGCAACAACCAGCACCCATCACCATTAACAGGAGAAATGTGAAGGGATGATAGGTTTGAATTCGTGGAATCAGTAAGTCAACTGAATGTATCTGGATCAACTATGGCTTCGTCGAACGTGCTTTCCATATTCGCAAACTGTACGCTACCTAAGTGCGTTTATCGAATCAAACAATCTGAATGTTGGCATAGCCAATATGCATATTAAAGAACAAATCCTGAGATGAACACTGAATACTCACTTCTTATTCAATGGTTGAACATGTAATCAGAAAGATGGATTAGCAATGGGTTCTCCGCTTGGTCCATTGCTTACCGATTGGTTCATGGCTTACCTTGAGTCAAATATCCCCTCCCCTACCAACAATCAAATGGATCGAAGTTTACACGTGGTATATAGATGATATCTTCATTCTCACCGTTGAAAATACTAACATATAATAAAAAACCTACAATTCTTCATCAGTCAGTCGAATTCAAAATTAGAGCAGATTCAGGTTTATTTCATTATTTTATTTTTGATCTACAGCTTGATTCCACACCGTATTTTTGGTACAAGTATGGAATTTTCAGCGTGGATATCGGTAGCCCAAAATCCGCAGGCCGACCATAGATATCAGGTGTGCGTCGGCGTGGGCAGGTTTATCATCCTGCCTAGATGTTAAGCTTACAAGAAGAACAGATGGAAGCACAATCGTCGGACGAAGTAGAACAGTCAACAGGGGACTGCAGAGAACAGGACAACGTGAAGATCTGCTGATGAAGCCCTGTGGTTCACTCCGAATCTAAGAGAATAACCACACTGATAACACTCATAGACGTGATGAAATACAAGAAAAGTAAAATTAATTTCTATTTTAGATAAAAAAATAAATAAGTAATGAATAGCAATAAACACAATCGTGTACACAAAATAAATCTTCGTTTATCAATCGATAGATATCACAAGTGCATTATGTACACATTTATACAAGTCAAGGACGTTGTAAATCAGATATTAAACAATAACATTAATCTGTAGAAAAGATGAGATTTTATTCATCAGAAGTCGAGTCAACTGATACAGTTGAAAGTGGGAACGCAGATAGTCCTAATACCGAAGCCGTCACTGGTCCGGGAGCTTTAGAATTCAGAGATTTCTCTTGCACCCAAGAAGGAAGAGATACAAGATCACTTAACGGTTGTTTCACACGGAAATTAGTCAAATTATGTGAACCATCTGGAAACCCCGTCAATGAACAACTGTTACTAGTTGACGGAATCGAGCACAAGAGACTTTCAATTTGTGAGGTGGAGTTCCTTTCTGAGATTTCAGAAGTATTCGTTCCAGAAACAGGTAAGTGGTTCAACTTCTTCAGCTTCCGTTTCAATTTCCCAACTCGCCGTCTATCAAGAGTCATTGTGCAACTGTTCACCTGATCAGAGTCGGAGTGCTCTTCCGCACTACTATATTGACAGACAATATTCTTAATCGGAGAGTTAGTAACAGTATTACTGGGTAAATAAATGCAAACCTTCTTTATCGACTTTTCTTTCTCCCGGTTTATTGAGACAACGGTACTGACAGACGATAACTGGGATCCACTTTCTGATATCTCATCAGAATTGCTCTCAAGAGAATATGTCGACTCTTCATCATGATCATCTCGGCAACTTGAATCCTGCAAAGGTGAATCGCAATTGTTTGTGGAAGCACCTGGGCTTCCTGGAATCCCATCAGAATTAGGCGAAGGAACAGGGTTACCTGAAGTGACATCAATATCTTCCGTAGGTTCAGCTGTGTTAGGCTGTGAAGAATATTCTCAACATTATTGATTGAAACATACGAAGGAGATGGTGTGTCCACATCAGCGTTTGATGGGACAGACTGCGCTTCAGATTCATTACATTCACTACGTGATGAGACCAGCATAAGACTGTCTGATAGTTTATTCGGTACGGATGAGAAGTTTTCCGAATGAGCACATTCCGTTGTTCCACTTAGACTTACCGAAGCACTCTGAACCAATGATTCACCTCGGGAATCAATTGAATCACTCACATTAGTACCGATTGATGACGTATCACTGTTTTTTGACACCACAGAACTGCACACCCGAGTTGGTTGAGGAGAACACTGGCTACCGTTAACTTCTTTCTCACAATCATATGAATTTCTAACAGATGCCTTTTCTTTGCACGCAACGTCAATTTCAGTAGGACTATTATTACAAGCGTTTCCTAATGATAAGGGATTTGAAAGGCTCTCAAGTGATGGCACATCATTCACAACAATCTCAGTAACTAACTTTAAAGAATTCAATTCTGAATTATCAGTAGTACTTTTACTCACCGAAACAGAAGATTCTGACGAATTTATCACCTCTGTGGTTCGAAGAGAATTAGAATCCAAAGATGAGGAGGTGTTAGGTGACATACTTGTAACATTCTTTGAACATGTTTGGTTAACAGCAATAAGTAATCTTGTCTGAGGAATAATATTAGGGGAACACGGGTTACTGGAGTGTGATACGGAAGAGTCCACTCCAGCACATCGATCACTGAGCAGTCTTGCATTACCATCATGGACATCATCACGTGAGATACGCCCTTCACTCTGACTAATACTGCTGCTACTGACTTCCGGAGTATGCACTGTGATTACCGCAGATTTCAACGTCTTCCTCAAAGAATCACGTGAAAATGTCACTTTCGAATAGACAAAATCTTCTACCGAATCACTGCTTGTCGAACAAACAGTTTTACTTAGATCACTGACTGAATTTTCTGGCACTGGGTGTTCGGGTGGAACAAAAGTTAAGTGTTGAGGTGGCCATGGCGATATCCCATTCACATTGACCTTATTCAACACAGGCTGGGATAAACTGTTTCTTGAACCATATGGAATATTTAAAATACGGCATGGCAACTTTAAATCGCTACACAGAAACCCACATTTCCAACAATCATAAAGTTGTGTTAGAAAACTAATCATAGTACTACTGATCTGCTTCAATTCTACCTGATGTTGACGTCGACTCCAAGCTTCAATTGCATCATATTGACTCTGCAAAGATGAGAAGAGATACTTCAAATCAATATCAGCACGTGGACTAACAGAGGGAAGCTGGTCTTTGTATGCTGGCACCCAAGTGTCCATTATGGAGGAATAAGTCTTTGATAACTCCTCTTTCAACGAAAACACACTGTCACGCAGACCACGAACATGTCCGAAAACATCGGTGGTGAGATACTCGAGTAAGAAGAAGGCAATATTCGTAAACAACTCAATATTCCGCTGCTCTCTTGATGGCGCATCCAAGTTAACAAGTCCTCGTGTATATACAATAGAATCGAATACACACTGTTTCGAAGGCAGTAAACTAGTATCCTTCTTATCACAACCGAAGAAAGGACAAAGCAAGAAACCACTTGATGTTATACTACACAACGTGTGATACATTTTCTCCAGGAAATTTAACACATTACGGAGCGGAACACAAACCTCTTCCGTTAATATACGAATAACGTTATCTCGTGCACATGATTCCGATTCAAAAAGACGAGCTCGTCCACGAGCCAGCCGCATAGAAGAACGTGATTGAACAGAATTACTGTCTGCATTTGCGAGTTCATGCCTCGCCTTCAAACAAGAACCAGCTGACATAAGTGATGCAAAAGAATCATGTAATCGGCACAAACAAACAGATATAACTTGATGTAGACATTCCATAGTACTGAACAGATTCAAGGAGACACTCTTGTCTATTTGAGCATTTGAATTACAACCTGAAGTCGTCTTAGCCTCACTCAGAACTTGTAGGCATGTATTATGAAAAGAGCTAATTAGAAATCCGAAAGACGCAATGTGGTGCGTAGATACGCCGGTCGTCCTTCTTAGAAAACTTGAAACTGACTGAGGAAGACACTTGCACAATTCCACGTGTAAATTTCTTTCACGCATATTATCATCCACCGGAGGATTAGGTGCAGTTAACTCAAAATCATCATCACGATCGTTTCCATCCGACAACACATATAATGATGCTGACGATGAAGAAGAAGCATTTGAAATCTGACGACATTTCGATGAAAGGTATTTTGATATATTTAAAAGATACTTTTTCGCATCAGGTTTGAATATTAAACGTGATAATGCCTGCAGAAATCTTTCAGAACAACAATTGTACCAGCATCGGTCACGTGGTAGACAGCTACAGGCAATTTCTAGTGTCCCCTTCAACAGACTGTCAGAAGACCACCGGACAACAAACAGTGGTGGTGACTCTGAATTTACCAATGGATACTGAGACAGATGAGCAGAGTCTCGTGATGATAAACCCCTCAATGTAAAAAGACGTATATCAGCTAGGGGGACTCGATGACAATATATCCAACAGTGTCTTAATACTTGCAAGGCAATATTCTGGTGTTTACGATTTGTAAGCAACAAATATAAAACTCTTATTACATCGCCAAGTAATAAGTGAGATTTCATTTCATGTCTAAAAGAGAAAATCAAAAACACTCAACAAATGAACTGTGCATGGGTGTGTGTGTGAGTGTGCATATATATGATGAATAAAGATAGAAATATCCACCCACTCAAATAACACTAAACACCGAATTCCAGTGGTACTTACCCTGATACTCTCCTCCAGATAACATGGCCACTTGTCACAAGTCATCTATGATCACAAACTTATTGACATCAAGTAGATTAAAGTGCACTGCTGCATACTTTATCTCACACTGTCAAACACCACGAATATCAACAAGTGTGAGAGGAGGTCAAGAGATTCGCCCACAGATTTCGTCAACAGCTAGTTCTTCTAACCCAATGGACAACACATTTCGCGACTTCACTGCACATCCTTGAAATAGGAGTCAGTGATATCCAGTCGTCTAGCATTATCCAGGACTTCACACCCACTCACTTACTCAGTTCCTTGAAAAACAACAAGTCCACACGAGCTCTCATACAACTGACTGCATCAGTTCCACTAGAGTCTATGCATCATTAGCCAGACATATTTTCTAGGAACCCTATACTGTCGTGTGTAATTACAGACTAGATCGACAATGTGCCAGTCAGAATTGCAATTGTAAACATATAGGTTGATTGCTGTTCACTAGTCAGTCGAATGTTTGCAGAATATATTTAGTTTTCATACGGTATTTACACTACCTCTTTTACCAGCACGTTTGACAAAACACCTCCTCCAAAATATCAGTCCACATCAAGGAAAATCTACTAGGAAATTTATTAAACGTTCATTACGCTTAACCGAATTCGTGTGTAGATTTTAGCGATGGAGAAAACTATGGATCCCACCATAAGGGGAATCACGTGCAAGGTCACCAGGAGAGATGATTAACATACTCGTGGAGAAGTCGAAAAGCTCCCTTCAAAATGAAGTATGCGCTAAAGAAGTAGGACAATGAAAGCTTTGCAAATAAACCATCCAGATCAGTAAACACAACTAAATCACAATAATCATTGGTCTCCGACACAGGAATCAAACTACGTCTTTTACTCGCACGTTTGAGAATACTCTTTTCCCAATAATTAGTGTGTGAGTATTCTTCAAAATATCAGTTCACATCAGGGAAAATCTACTAGTAAATTTACCAAACGTTCATTATGCCTAACCGCATTGGTGTGTAGATTCAGCAAAACATGACATTTTACCGACGGAGAAAACTATCGGTTCTACCGTAAGTGGAATTATAAGTAGACAAACAGATGAAATTTATCGAAACTCTTATCATCACCACCACAGAAATTACTTCAACTTCACCACCACCCCCAGCACACCTGATCCCACCCCTGCACAATCTGGATGATGCAATCGTAAATAGCATTATGCAATTCAATTGTCCTCCACATGCAAATATAACTTCTGATACAAGCCAACGACTTTACGAAGACTGCACAGCACAACGCTTCAAAGGTATGTCTGTTACTAAATAAGCTGGGTGACATATAACATGATAAATATTGCAACCCAAACCCCTTCAAAATCCATGTGAAAAGCACTTTGGTGACACAGTCAAGTCACACAGCCAACAGCTTGTAGACCATTCCTCATCGTTCAACATACGATATCAATGTCAGAGATAATGGTGACACCCAAAGAGACGAGGGTTCAGTCAATACAGAGTGATGAAGATTTTGACTCAAGAAGTTAACAGAGGATGACCTTAAAGCCCTCATCTTTTATATGCAGCCTTCACTCTCACAACTCAAAAGATATTCCAACATCACTGCTTTAATCGGCTGCAACAAGTACCGAAATTAATCCTGAACGACACAGCAGATAAGTATGAGTGGTCTAGTTTGAATCAGAGATTTTCAAAATCACTGACATCCATGAGTTCAAGCAGGACCGAAAGTACTCCATTATAAACACACTGACTAGTCAATTATTGTAACAAACACTTTAGAGTCACATGAAAGTAAGAAGGAAACAACTACAAAATAAGTAATGACTCACTTCTCAGATTGCGATGCATACGTACAAACACAATACGGCATTCTTAAAAGTTTAGCCTCTTCATTTCCAACCAGATCAAGCGATGACATCGATTTAAGTTTGGTTAACTGTTCTTTCGTCATTGGTGGGCATTTCTATTACACCGAGAAGAGATGAAGAAAAACAGAGAGAATAACTCAATAATATTTGAATGATTTTCATGTAGACATTTAACTTTGCACTTAAAATGTTCTATGAAAGTGTAAAACTGACTAAAGTAGCCCATTAGAACTTTCAAAATACCGATTACTCAACACAGAATATTTCCCTCGCTAACTTAATCATCAGTCAATATAGGGTGTTTTGTAAATTATATTATTTTATCTAATTGGGTCAACCGGCAGTGTCCTTTAACTTACAGTGCTTGTCCCTGAGTGAGTTTGTAGGTTCAAATGCCACCCTAGTTCCTGCTTTATTTAGAATCCTACGTACCCTCTTTATATGGTAAAACTGTAGATGACTTTGAATAACTATCCTATCAAATTCATTAGGAAGATCATTAAGAGCCAAAAACAAAATAAAAATAATTGTGAAACTAGTAATAATAACATAAATAAGAGAGAATATAAGTCATTCAGATTCGTTGACCCGAATAAAATAAGAAATCTAGAGAATAGTTCAGCCATAGCACTACATGCAATTACACACAACCATACTATAGGCTGGATGGGATAAGATGACCGTTTTTAAATCTAATGTAACAGGGTGGAGGGAGAGATTGATAACAACGGAAGCTTTGTTGATCGAATCAACTGCAAACACGTGTAACAGGAGGGATTCAACACCTGTCCCAGATATCTGGAAAATTCTACTACCCCAACAATGACAAATAGGAGAGAACAAAGAAGACTATAAAACTCAATTTTTGAAGTCGTGTGGTTATAATTGATATGATTATGAACCTCAATAAATTTTGTTCGAAACTGTGTCATCCAGTCAATACTAATACTGTTTCACTGTGTGATACATCTAATAAACAAACTAATATGGAATTACTTACTACCACGACAGTGCCCAAGTTTTACACATACATTATTTAACATTCTCACATGAACATACATAAAATGCGCACTTATTCACGATATAAGATAAAATGTGATATAGAAATGTATAAATAGTCAATGGTATATAAGTTTTGATTGCAGGGTGGGGGTGAATTATATTCAATGATTACCACAAAACACTTAAAAACAAATACCAAAAATGGGGAACACTGAATGTAAGTTCAAGCAAGTGCTGACAGATATCAAGTGAAGTGATAAAATAAAGAGGTTAAATTGTGAACTATTATAAAATACCAGAAGCGTAATAAACTTTGTGTAAATTTTACAAAAGGTTTACACATAGTAAATGTAATAATGGAGTAAAGTGAACTAGATGGAAACGAATAAGAAGGCATAGTATAACATGAAAATATGGATGATTTTGTCCCTGATGTCCTTATAGTAGGCCAGGATAAAGAAAGAGGATAAATGTGCTTCGTTTGCACACATAATTCAGGTTTTTTTCTTAGCTTCTGCTATAGCTAAAAAAGGTAATCGTATGTCTTTAGGCAGTTTGTTTGGTAGTCGATAGACAACCGTAGATGACTCATTATATTATCTAATTGCTATGTGACAATAGTTATTTTCCCCTCCACCTCTACTGGTATAGGTAAAGTTCAACAATAGCGTCTTAGGAGTGCGTACGCTCCAATAGCCTTGAACGCATGTTAGTCGTTGTCCAACAGTACCTGTCATGATCATAGCTGAAATATCAACGCTATTCACCGACTAAGCAGCAGATTTCATTCATATCACGTTTTTAAGTACTGTTTCGACAATGTGTTAATAGCTCAGTAGGATTGGGTTTACAGTTAGGATTATGATCAGGGTCATAATTAGCATTAGGGTTAGGTTAACGGTTGGGATAAGGGTTGTAATTAGGGTTAGTGTTAAGTTTAGGGTCAGGGTTAAGGTTACGATTAAGGATAGATTTATATTTCATGTCATTTATTTTAATTTGTTTTATTATCCACATTTTCCTGGTAAGTAGTCATCGATCCTCGCACTGGAAACCATAGTAATTCAACGGAGGACTTTTAGGGAAGACTGCACAACAGGATGAAAGAGGTAAACAATTCACAAAAACAACTCATCTTTAGTCACCTCGGTGAATACATGTACCAGGAACTAGTCTAACTTAGCAACTGATACTCCACATTATAACTGAGACGTATTTTTAAGTCATGTCAGAGAAAGATACCCTGTTCAATGTGTTTTCATGCATTTTAGTTATGTAAATATACGTCATTTTTTGTGCAAAAGTCATATATTTGTACGATTGGTCGGTTGAAGTTCACTCGTGCGTTCCCATCCCTTGGGACGCTATCGTTGAACTTTGCCCTATAGTGTACATATTTTACCTCTACACTCACCATTGGAAACATTTATTTCCCGATACAAATTTAAAACATGCAACTAAGTTAATAAAACAGAATCTAATGAATTCATCAAATTTCGGTAGAACTCCTGAGATGAATACTCTACATACGGGGATATACATACTATTTAAAATACATTAGGAGATATAAGGCTGATAAGCAAATAAATAAATTACATTGAATTAGTCATGCAGAACTACACGTGCGAATTTTTTCCAGGTCATGTTCAAATAGATAAGGGGAAGGGAGTATGAGAGATTAAAAATACGATAATAAAATGCATTACGCTTCAATTACATCACAACACATGAAATAATAATAGTTGTATGAAATGCAGTTAAAATATTTGTGATGATAATCATAGTTTAATGTCAAGTGGCAAAATAATTAATGTCATATATAGAATAATACATAAGGTGTATAGATTTTGGAAAGGGGTACATGATTATATTCGTCTACTAATCTTATAATTATGTACCCCTTTCCAAAGTCTATACACCTTATGTATTATTCTATATATGACATTAATTATTTTGCCACTTGACATTAAACTATGATTATAATCACAAATATTTTAATTGCATTTCATTCTATTATTATTATTTCATGTATTCACACCTTTGACCTAATGCACTCACTGGATAAAATTTCTTTAAAAAAAACCATATATATATACGATTGTACAGTTTGATAATAAATTCGTTGAAAAGAGTCTCTTCGCTGAATATTGTGTTCTTAATGCTATAATGGGAATTATTAAACTATTGAAAAAATTGAAGAGAACAAAGAAGACTATAAAACTCAAGTTTTGAAGTCGTGTGATTACAATTGATATATTTATTAACAATGAATTTTGTTCGGAAGTTAAAGTATCATAACCAAAGTCAGTGTCTTTCAAAAGTTGACCTTGAAGAAGCGACCAGACACAGGGAATGCTATGGAATGTAATCCCACATCATATCATGACTGCCTTTTGGGACTTGGTGAGGATAGATACAGTATGCCGCTTATTTATTAGCTACTATTTCTGCAAATATACACTGTAAGGTAGTGTTATGGTGTTTAAGATTAATTTTTATGAGTTGATCGCGGATTGATATCAGTTAGGGGACCATTGAAAACCTGCACTGGAGTACTGGACAGCTGTTTCATTGCAGTTTGGTAATCATCGGCAGTATGCACTCAATGTCTACTACTCCCTGGTTCCCAATAGTTCTCTAACTGATATCAATCCAACATCAACTCGTTAAGACAAATCTAATCCTTACAAACCAACTATTGAAAAGTTTAAGATTAATGTTCACAATCTGCGGTTAAGGTTACGTTTAGGGTTAAAGTTAGGAGCAGGTTGGAGAATAGTGTCAGAAATATCAATGGATCTCAAAGTATCATGACATGCAGTCACCTGGATGAATGGATATATCGCGCACGATACGATTTCTCTATAGATGATCGTCTGTGTATTGACTGGGAGACATTCGCATAACACATGAGCTACAGCTATACAGTGCTATATCGACTTTGCAATAATTTTTAGTGTATTTTCCAACGATTATGCTGCTATTTGCATCGGAATTCTGATTGGCTGTTCAAGGTCAATGGGTTTCGGCCACAATAATTCAACCTTTCCGACACACATGACCAAGAAAGTAAGGAGAAAAGGACTATTCTCTATCCGTAAATAAGAAGCCTTTATGAAAACGACTGCAATTCAAGAGTGTCACGCATCTAGTGAAATAATTACTAATAAGTTAAGAAAATCCATTCATCAAAGAATTTTGATGCTGGTAAACTACAAGTCATACTTTCTGCACGACTGGTTGTGATTCCTGAATTGAAAGATGAAGTACCTTGACTAGCTACTAGCTAGGTACCTCTTCCTGTATCTACCAATTCAATTGCCGTGATAGTGGAGCGAGTTATATTGGCCGTAGGATTAGGAACTTGATTTCTCATGCTCGCAAACACCTACCAGCGTGGCTGGATAAAAGTGTAGCGAAAACCATCAACAGTTCGATATTAGACCACCTGGTCCACACTGGCCACAACGCCGGCTAGCATTGAAGAATCTTTCTCTATCACCTATCGGGTACCAAATAAATCTCCGAAACCATCCACGTACCGAATACTCGAAATAACAGAGGCGACTGCAATACGCCTAAAACAACAGGTGCTCTGTCGGAAGAAGAAACAGGTCTAACCACTGCCACTGCCCTGATCTGCTGTGGACTCTGAGAATTCCCAAATATCTTATTGCATAGACCTGTTTTGATATAGCCCTCCATCCTGTACATTTAAATTCCCCTACCGCTCGTTATTGTACATGCATTAAATAACCTATTGATTTCTTATTTAAACGTAGTGGTTAACTAACACACTGACACACACACCAACACACACACACACACAACGCACATAACCTTCTACCACAAATTTCTTATCTCACCCACACCTCCACCGTCCCCAACAATGATCATTCTCCCATCTCAAGTTTATAATTAATGTGAGTAGAATTTAATATGAACATGACTCATGACAACTCACTACTATACATATATGTGTATTTTCCTTGTCATTCATAATCATTCACTTCGTGATATAGGTGTTCCCTTCAGTCTTACAATTATACCCATTACCATATATATATATATATATATATATATATATATGTATATATATATTGCACTATGATCTTTTATAACAATCTATTTGCAAATAACGTTTACGATTCTGACTTTAATGATTCCTTGTCACCCTTAAAAAACACTCATCTTGCCAATAACAATCATTCTCTCATTATCTTGGATATATAACCGTAGAACCTGATCATGAAGTTAGCGGAAAGTGTAAAATACCTCTCAGTTACCAGATTGAATACAAAGTCGTTGAGGAAGTCTGCAGTCACATTTTGTTGTTGAACGGGACTTAAGAATGTGGCGTGTCCTGCTGATGAGATTTATCAGTAGTATATAGAGAGACGTTCACCGACTTAAAAATATCGAATAGTGGAGAGAGAGAGAGAGAGAGCTGACATCAGTGTCGCGAAAAAACATGCGAGACACGAAAAGAAGACAAAAAGCACAATACGAAGTGGGGCAGAAGTATCACAACAAAGATCTGTGAGAATCACCGTTTGCAGATAAGATGTACATAATTTCGCTCTATAAACACACCGAATTCCTAATAAACATTCCCTTACCAAGTCTCTTGTCTTCGACAGTCAATATACATTGCATCATGAAACAGCGTCATTTAAGCGCATAACCTCTTAAACACAAAATATATATCGTTCACAGTAATATTACAAATAGAACTATACCTGCTTTGAACCTATTCTTGGAATTCAGGGTCTCCCCTGTACCACCACACTAGCGGTGAGACTTTTCACATGTTCAAATTGAGCATTTAACGATGTCACTTTGCGAGTATTCTCAATTGGTTGATTCGATAAACATAGCAACTGCTATCATCAATACTTCCTTCCTCTCAGCTAAACAGGCATTTATAGCCATCACTTTGTGATTCTGTATGATCACATAGCAATGCTGTAGTGCATCTAACCTCCAGATTTCTCACTTGGATAGGGTTCAGAAACAGCTGGGCTACGAAAAGTCCACACAGTAATGGAAACAAAAGGAATTTAAAACATCTATAATATTTCCATATGAGGTAGAGTACTTCAAAAGACTCGAGTATAATTTTCAACAGATTAGTAGAATAACATGTGATCATTGTCAGCTGGGATACGCATATATGTGATTCAAAATAGTAGATCAGAAGAAGTCAGATTGCTCGACAACAGAAACAAGCTCAGTCCTCATTTACGCTTAGCATACTGTATATCAAATCTTAAAAGAACTAATAAATATTTACTCACAGATGCAGTCGTAGGCTGCAACCTGGATGCTCTAGATGACGATAGTCTTCTTCGCTTTCCACAACTACTCTGGAGACGTCGAGAAGGCCTACCACGTTTATTTCTTCTCACTGCAGACGAACTTTCACGGTGTGCTTCAGCTGAAACAATTCAATCACAATTTACAAAGAATTAAAACGTTCATAATTATAAGTAACTCAGCAGACAACTCAATTTTTAACATGAAATTTACAATAAACTAGATTAGGTGAACACACTCGAAAGAGTATTTAAGCTCATTCTGATAAATCATTACAAAATACGATACTGTAAAGCCAGAAGAGACACACAAACAGTTACAGTAATGACACAGCATCTCAGAGTAAAATGTCATCATCACTATTGAACAGGGTTAGGATGTTTCCACGTTACTACAGTGTAACGTCAAAACCTCCTGGAAATTCTTAATTCTCATATCCTCCTGTTCAAGAAGACACTAATCAAATTTTCGTACAGTCTTATATTTTTAGGTACAAAATCATCCAATTCGAAAGTGGACACCAGCAATGATCCAATAAAATCTTTATAGATTAAGATGAATCCACCACATTTAAACTTTCACAGATCATTGTTGTCAGATCACAACAATAATCTCAAAGTTAAGTACACAAAAGAGTTTAGCAGGAGGAAAAGTTTGTCAAAGTAGGAGACAGATCACTACATCAAATCCCGAATTAAGAAACATAAAGAATGAAAGTGACAAAATGCTTGGGTCAATAAGGTTCTCCGATGTGAATTCTGGTTACAGAGAGACACATCACATTAGAAGTGTTTATCTGAAACGACCTGTATACACACAGGAAGCACTGATGCAGCTTCAGGTCAAGGGTAACTGAGGTGGTTGAAATATTTTGCTCACTACGATCTACCCATGAATGTAACCTGAAGTAGTGATACATTGCAGGGAAACAAAAGGTGGCTGAATCAAGGTACACACCATACTATGGAGGGGTCTCGAGATGTAGATTCAAACCATATACACACCTCAGCTTCAGTAGTGAACACTTAGCCAACTAGTGACGACAGGCAATCTGCACGACACATTGTGATTACTCTTTGTGATATTCACGAGTTATATATATAAAATTTTAACCAATGACGGTGATTTAGTGGATCAAATAATAATAGTAATCATAATAATAATCATAATAATAATAGTAATAATAATGTGAACGGAATCAGAACCCGTCTTTTACACTTAGCCGAAGCTATGGGAATTCGAGAGAACAATCCTAGTCTTTGTATACAAAAGAAATTTGTTCTACCTTTGTCTCTCCCTTGGCCTAGGTGAATTCTATTCAAAACCCTCCCACCCTTTCTTATCATCTCTCTCCTTCGTACTTTTATGATATTTATTTAAACTCTGATTATCGTTCCATTTGATTTGACCTAATTTATTTATTTATTGAATTGTCTACATATATGCATATACTAACTTTGTTATTCTTATCACCTATATAAGCCTTATTAACAATATTTTGTTATTATTATAATCATCGCTATTAACTTCGTTCAAAACATTTACCACATTATTATTATTATGATTATTATTATGATTACTATTATTATTTGATCCACTAAATCACCGTCATTGGTTAAAATTTTATATATATAAGTCTATGTAAATTAGAGTAAAGCCTGAAGAAGATCTAATTGAAAACAATATTGTTCGCTTATATGTCTTGTTCTAATATTATAAATGGGAATATTTAAAGATTTGAAATCACGTGTGGATCCCAGTGCATTAAAGGCACTCAATGAGTACTTGAAGTATAATGCCAGACTCACGGAAGCGAAAACTTGTTTAGATTTTATAAATGACTGTTTAAATAATAATCGATATCCTAAAATTTACTGGAAATCTCTTCGTCGTAATAAAGTTTATCCAAATTCCCGATCACTGAAACGTTATGCACTTAACCAATTGGACTCTTTAAAAATGTACATTTCGGATATAGAAAGAAATTTATCACAGAAGAAATATGCAGTCGATGAACTTCCTCAGGATTTATTATTTGATTTCATTGAGTATGTCGACAGTGTTAGTCAAAATAGAGCAGAGAAAAGGAGAACGAAACTTGTCAAATCATTAGACAGTCAAAATCCTGAAAAGGATTCCCCTTCATTCCCTTCAGACCCGTATCGGTATGTCCATAATTTTTCAAGTGTAACACTAGATAAATTACAGTTAGAAGCATTATCATTGGGTCCTAGATTTTGTGACCAAGGGTATAAGGTCAACCAACTCGATACCAACATCCAGTTTGAAAACTTCCTCCTACAAACGAAAGATTTAACCCCAACATCAGACGATGAAGTCGCTAGGTTCAAAACAACACTAGTCGACAGCTGTCAACAGTATAAAAACAATAGTCATTCTAGTAAGAGTTTACTGACTAAACAGCATCGAGAAGCCCTAAGAAAGTTAAGGAACGATGAAAGCATTATAATCAGTAGACCTGATAAAGGAGACGGAGTAGTATTGATGAATAAGTGTGATTATGTAGACAAAATGAATTCGCTTCTAAATGATGAAACGAAGTTCCAAAACCTTATTAACCCAATAGATCTGGACGGAAAGGCTGAAAAGCAGTTAACCAACACGCTTAAGGAACTGAGAAAAAGCGGAATAATCTCAGAGGCAGCATATAACCGTCTTAAACCTACTGGAAGTAATACTTCACGTCTGTACGGTCTGCCCAAAATACATAAACCAGGACTTCCTCTTCGTCCAGTCCTGGATATGTCAAACTCTACCTACCATGGAGTGGCAAAGTGGCTAGGTGAACTCCTCCAACCATTACACAAGATGGTAGTAAATCATAGTGTTAAAGATGTTTTTGAATTTATTGCTAACGTGGATGATATTAATGTAAATGGAAAGCAAATGCTTTCCCTCGATGTAGCATCACTGTTTACCAATGTACCACTTATGGAGACTGTGGAATTCATATGCCAACAGATACTAGAAAAACAGATCGACATCGGAATACCGGTTAGTAGTCTGAAAGAGTTGCTTTTAAGATGTACTATGAATGTACATTTCATATTTAACAACCTTTACTACAGGCAAATCGACGGTATTGCCATGGGTTCTCCGTTGGGGCCAATTTTAGCAGATTTCTTTCTTGCCAAGATTGAAAATGGTCCATTGAAAAAAGTAATAGAAAAAGCTGATTCTTATTTTCGTTATGTTGATGATACCTTTATTATTCTTGATGTGAAAGCTGACAAGAATGAAATGTTAAAAAAGTTTAACGATGCACATCCATCGCTTATCTTCACTTGTGAAGAAGAATATGATGGTGGACTACATTTTCTTGACGTCCAATTGAGCAGAAGAGAGGATGGTTCACTAAAGAGAGATGTCTATAGAAAACCTACATCTGTAGGACAATATACACATTTCCTCAGTTATGTACCAATCCGTTACAAAATCAATTTGGTCAGATGCCTGACGAATAGAGCAAGACGCATCTGTACAGATGACTCTCTAGAGAATGAGCTAGGATACATCCAAAATACGTTAGTCCAAATGGGTTATCCTAGTAGATTTGTCAGGAGACACATGAATGCTAAGTACAATAAAGAGAAACCGATAACAGTTAAAAAGAAACAACTGTTCATCAAACTGCAATTTAATGGGGACGTGGCTAGTGAAGTCTTACATCAGAGATTATCGAGAGCGATAAAACGGACTTATACTGCCGCCACCCTCTGTTTGTCATTTTCCAGCCGGCCAATTTTGATTGCTCAAGTGAAAGATAAGTTACCTAGTTGTGCCACTTCCATGTGTATCTATAAATTTAGTTGCTCCTGTGGAGAAAGCTATATAGGCCGAACAACTAGACAGCTTAACAAACGCATTAATGAGCATCTTCCTTCATGGTTCGGAAAAGGTCAAATAAAGTCCATACGAAGTTCTATTTTGGCTCATTTGATTGATAGTGGTCACCAAGTGGACAAAAATAGTGCTTTCAAAGTTATTTACCGCATTCCATCAAGTCTTTCGAACGGAATCAGAACCCGTCTTTTACACTTAGCCGAAGCTATGGGAATTCGAGAGAACAATCCTAGTCTTTGTATACAAAAGAAATTTGTTCTACCTTTGTCTCTCCCTTGGCCTAGGTGAATTCTATTCAAAACCCTCCCACCCTTTCTTATCATCCCTCTCCTTCGTACTTTTATGATATTTATTTAAACTCTGATTATCGTTCCATTTGATTTGACCTAATTTATTTATTTATTGAATTGTCTACATATATGCATATACTAACTTTGTTATTCTTATCACCTATATAAGCCTTATTAACAATATTTTGTTATTATTATAATCATCGCTATTAACTTCGTTCAAAACATTTACCACATTATTATTACTATTATTATTATTATGATTATTATTATGATTACTATTATTATTTGATCCACTAAATCACCGTCATTGGTTAAAATTTTATATATATAAGTCTATGTAAATTAGAGTAAAGCCTGAAGAAGATCTAATTGAAAACAATATTGTTCGCTTATATGTCTTGTTCTAATATTATAAATGGGAATATTTAAAGATATTCACGAGTGTCAGCGTTTCAGCAGACTCTGCTGACTTATTTTTTTCAATATTTTTATTATTTTGGTGACTGGCGCTGTTGTGAAGTGTTTTAACTCAAAAACACTGCACTTCAACAATCTCACCGTGCCGAAACGGGCCAACTCTCCAGCCGTTGCGAAGATTGTCTCAATATGAAATATCGTCAACTTAAAGCAGAATAAATAAACAAGTAAAAATAATAAAATCTTAATGCAATGAAAGTTGGATGAGAATGATTCAAGCGAGTTGGGTATCTCCAGCTGTTCAACAGCTTTCTGCTCTCCACGACAAGCTTTATTCAGCACACCACAAGCTTCAAGAGAATTTCAGAAAACACCCTCTGAGAAGCTCCATTCGAATTATCGTAACACTACCAGGATGAAAGCTCTATCACTGTTACCTTCAGCCTAGTGTAAGCAATTTACACACGTATAATAAAATCAAATCGGTTACACACAATTCGTAAAAATATTCAGTTACCTACAGGATTCGCATATTCCCTCGTTATCCTGAAAAGAAACAAGGTTCACAAGGTTAACCACATGTCTTCTAGAAACAGAAATAAAACAAAACCTGATACCCCTCTCACCCCCGATTGGTGGAAACCTCCATACATATGTAAATGCAAACTACCTGTAAATCTGAAATCATCAACAGTTTCACTTTCATATACACAACCACACTTACTACTTCATGGCAGGCACAGAGGATAAGCCTTGACAGAGATTTTACTGAAAGTTAGTAATTTAGTTTCGATGGAGAACTTCATTCAAACAAATTTAACAAAATGGAAGAGTGAGTAGCATGAAATGCAGCCTATTCACCAGATCCACACCTTTAACCAACGCTAAACCTATACTATCATATCACAAGCATCAATCAGCAGAATGTAAGCTATGACGAAGGTGAATGAAAAATACATACAACTTCTAACTTACAGACACGACTACCACCTCAGAAGTCGAAACCTCCGTATTTTCTTTGTGTGACAAACAGCCTTCTGATTGTCTAAACTCATTGTTACAATTTTCTGATGTAATCTTCTCTGATGTTGTCTCCATTGACTCGTTTATCGTGCTTACTTCACGCATTTGAGCTTTCGTACGAGGTTGACTTGTGTCATGCACCATTACAGTACTGGTTTTGGCAGGTAGACTGGAAGAATTAACACCGATGAAATGACTATCATCTATTTCCAAGTACCCACGGTCCCGTTGTTGAGTGTTGCAGAATGAACTTTTATACTGACCACACGAAATAGAGGGCTTGTCTGTCGATATCACAGGCAACTTCGATGGTGAATACAATTTCGACATTTCCCAAGCCAACTGAAGAGGATATCGTAGTCTATTACACTTTTGGTTGATATATTCACGTATCACAGGAGTTTCAATTTTCGAATCACCAACAAAACCAGGTGACAATCGAAGAGGAAGAGAAAACAAATTATTCACATCATTCCCAGATGATATAGATCCCGAAAAGACATTTTCTATGCTTGGTGAAGCAGTAGGCGGTGTTACCGAAGTAATGCTGGAACTAGCCACTTGAGCCGCGGAAGAACAAGGGTGGCTTGAAATCTTATCATGTACTGAACTGATTGAATCGGAAGACGTACTTGTGCCAGTCACAGTGGAAGTGAATAATGACTGCAAACCATCTGAATTGTTGGTCGACTGACAGCTGGAAACAGTGTCAACTAGGAAAGTGTTCTCACGAATGACTGACACTTGGTTTACAAAGTTGTTCACATGGCCACCGTCATGAGTAGCTGTAAAACTAGTTGTTCGAGTACTGTTGTGACACGAGTCGATATTATACTGTGCGTTGGCTTCCAATGAATCAAAAGGTTCCGGTTTGATCAAGAGTGGATGACTATTGTCATCTGAAGTCACCTGGCGACATGATGTAACTGGATCATCTGAAAGCGGCAAAACAATACAACTATGAGGACGTTTGCACGGATATCATGCAGCAGTGAGTGACTCACAACGAAAATATTTCAAGACCATATTAAGTTCACACCTCAACAGGTGACTATGAACCATAAACTTTACACACAAAGTCGTCAATAGGCAACACCATCTGTCGTGTCTGTCTGTCATCGACATAGAACTTTGCACAAATGTGCGCCAGTTCAAGTCGCCACACTCCATGTAGCACGCGAAGCAAGAGAAGAAAGTACAAGAAAAGCATAATAGAAACAGTGAGCAGAGGTGTGAGACAAAGGAGTAATAAGCAAATACAAAACAGTTTCATTGAAGATCATAAGTCACAGGGAGTGGATGCATCTGCGCCACTGAGAACGGTTTTGAGCCATGTCACCAATTGTTTTCAACCATAGATTTTTACCGTCAAAAGGATGATGTTGCAAGTTGGAAAGTGAGCGACGGCCCAACTGTATCCATGATGAGATTTTCTCAAGAAGTTAATCAGTCAATCACGGCTGATGCAACTTTACAAATAAGTGAAATGGTCAACACGATCAACCATTTCAAGTTTCTATCCTTAAACTAGAGGTTGCTACGGATAATTTCTGTAGCAAGAGACTACATTTGACAGGAGAAGAAAGTATGCCACATATACTGAAATTCCTGCTTTGAACATACTGGCTTCCATTGCAGATATGCACATATGGTTTAATAATAATAATTAATAATTTTGTTTTGCTTTATTCCAAAAACAGTACTAATGATACACCAAGGAATTTTCAGCATTCAGTACAACATTGCATCTAATTTACTCAAAAACGACAAAAAAATAAACATTACATAATAATAATAATAATGAAACGTTATTATAGCAGTTATTTAGCAAATTACAGTATGCAATACGGAGAAAAATAAGCATAAAGTATAAAATTATGGTAATAACAACTAAAATAAAATAGCAAAGTTATAATTAAACGATAGAAAGGATGACACCATAAAATTACAGAAAGATGAACAATGAAAGGGTCGATTCACTTTGCTAATTACATAGTAACTTATACGTTTCACGTCTAGCAGTGTCTTCATCACATAAAATACGGGCTAAATACGGTATTGTAGAATTTTTGTACTTAATGGTACGAGCATATAACTTCTTATATTGACTTCTCGTCCTACCTGATGAGATGCAAGGGGATAGTTTTGAATATATTTTATTTTTGATTACAGCTTGACTCCACACCGTATGTTTTGGTACAGGTATGGAATTTTCAGCATGGATATCGGTAGCCTAAATTTTGCAGGCCGACCATAGATATCAGGTGTCGTCAGCAAGGGATCGAACCCCGGACCATGTGCATGGACGGTGAGAGTCCTAACCACTGTGCAGAGGGTCTGACAGTACGGCCTTTGCCCATTTTGTACAGCAATTTATGTATCTCTCGACTATAGTATTGGCGAGTTCATGCAGTGGAAAACCACAAGCCCAACTCACAGCATTTAACACCCTTCGTAATATGATATAGTCTTTTTTGAGAAGCCCAGGAAAGATTAATGGAGAGCAATAGAGTACAGTGGGTAAAATACAGGAGTTCACAAATCGGAGAACTAAAGTTTGGTTGGTACCTGATTGTCTTAACTTTTTAATGTAGAAGGTAAGACGAAACATTTTTTCAGAGATTGATAAGATGCGAGATGACCATGAAAGGTCAGAGGAAAGAAATAATCCAAGGTATTTAATGCTTGACTTGGTTTCAATTTCAGTGCCATCTATGCTACAGGCATCATGGGAACTAACTAGTTCATGTATGTCACGTTGATGCTTGAAAGTAAAGTTAACTGCCTGACATTTGGAAGGATTTAACATAAGGCCATTTGACTTAGACCACATGCTGATGTCCAACAGAAAGCTATTAAGCTTGGAGCTGTCAGACTCGGAAGTGATAGGCAGTGATACAGTCAGATCATCCGCATATTTGACAAAGTTAGTTTCGTTTGAATGAGGCAGGTCGTGTAGGAAGAAAGAGAAAAGAAAAGGATAGAGGACGGCACCTTGAGGAACACCGGCTTTTGTAAGCGAGGTGGAAAAAGATTTGCCATTATATACAGTATGCTGCATTCTATCAGAAAAATAAGAATGCAACCAACTCTTAGCCCAGGATCCTGTTTGCGTCAACGAAAGCTTATTTAATAAAAGGCCCCTAGGTATAGAGTCAAAAGCAGATGTGTAGTCTAGGAAAGCACCAACAACATATTTGGCACCTTTGTCAAAACAAGAAACAACATTATGATATAACACTACCGCAGCATCCAAGGTACTTCTGCCATGTTTATATGCAAATTGTTTGGGATCATTAAAAGGTTTCAATGAAGGTTCAAGACGAAGTATAAGTAATTTTTCCATCAATTTTAAAAAAGGGGAAGTGATTGCAATAGGCCTAAATTTAATATCAATACCAGATGGTTTCGGTATGGGGATAATTTTAATGTTTTTCTATGCAAAAGGTAGACCGTTACTGGAAAAGGAAGCATTAAAAATATTAGTAAGAGGGTAACACAAAATATCAGCATAGTTCTTGAGGCTAGTGGCAGGTACGCCATCAGGACCAAGGCTTTGGGAAGGCTTAAGAGACCGGAGACATTTAAGCCCGTTCATTCATTCGAGGTGGAGGAATGACAAGTAAGAGCAACGAAACAATACTCAACCAACAAACACGAATATCAACCAATTCAAAAGGGTGTCTACTGGCTCATTCACAGAGATCTGCTACATACTTCATCTGAACTAGTCAATGACATCGACAATAAGCATAAACCAAAGGTCTACAGACTCGTCCACAGAATTCACCGAAACCTAACGAGCAACACGTTTTGCCACTTCACTCCACATCCTTGAAACAGGAGTCGTGAAATCCAGTCCTCCAACATCACTTTATATTTCACAAGATAGAAGCACACACCAAACTCACTCACACACTCGTTCAGTGGCGTGGAGGACAATACCTTCTCTAAGCCTTTCCAGCCAAACCAACAATCTAATGAAAGTCCACTAAATAGAAACCATCTCCTACCAAGTCAATCCCTCACATCAAACATCAACAGCGAAGTGAGTACTTTAGACAACAAGTTTACACAACCTCTAATACAACTGGCTGCACCAGTTCCACTAGAGTCTATACATCACTACCCAAACAAACATTCTCAGAACCAATTTTATTGTTACGTTGTCACAATACTTATCGATTGGACAAGTTAAATGTTTAAAACAGGTGGGGAAATCCGACAAAATCACATGTAGTTGAGTATTTCTGTATTTATGAAACTACCAAAGGATTACGCCTTCAAAACAACCTAGTTTCGGCTTTTAGTCTATTGCATGTTCCAAAATCTGTGATCACTGAACAGCTTTTAATCTTTCAACCACTACTGATTCCAACACCTTACAAATTACACAACTATTTGTAGTTGAATCCAATTGCATTAACACTTCACGCAGAGGTTAGTAAGTGTAAGCACAACCTACATCCTACCCACCTCGGACATAATTTTCTCCACTGGATTATTCCTTTTACCTATTCGCCATTCATCTCCTATAAGTCGATCATCTTGTGGGTTCAACAGACAGTAAACGTCAAACACCTGAAGGCTTAGTAAGTGTCAACACATCCCCCAAGGTTGTTCATATTTAACCAAAATGTCAAGAAGACTGCAGTTGTCCACATCTCTATCAAACAGATCTATGTCATCTGGGTGACTGAGGACTCACTTGGGCATGACTACAAACACATTTCGGAAAAGCAGAAACCAGTGTAGACAAAAGAATTATGAACAAAGAGTTACGGCAACGACAAAAACTGCATTCTCACAACCTCAAGGTATACACACTTTGCAGTCATCGTGAACAATATTAACCCACACCACAGAATCTCTAGAGTCTGACTCGTAGCAACTTCAACGTCCAAGCCAGGTAGTCCACACATCCTTCTACACTCAAACTAACAGTGAATGACTGGATGCTTGCACTGGTGCAATATATCGGCTTCACCATACACACAACTCTGCAGCAAACTACTCTTCTTCCGTACACATCGCTCATCGAGGAATGCAGTTGCTCAGTGGATGTAACACAAGTGCAGAAGGACATTACAAGTAGTTGACCTGCCTCCCTCAACTTACTTGACTCATCAAATGGCTCAAAATATTCTTCAAAAACGCAAAAGTATCCACTCTTCATAAACTACTAGAACCATCAAACTCATTAAACGTTACATGCTCATTCAGTCTCCCGTACATTTATCTCCATTATACTTTCTCTAAATCTTCACTTTCAATGAGCTATAAAATGAGGCAACTTCAACTTCACAAATCTCTCTACAAAATTGTGGGTGGAAAGCTCAATCAGTCAGCCGAGTCTCATCGTTACTTAGTATGTCGCTGTATCTCACGTGGACATTTATAGAAACACATACAAGCACAAACACTACTCCTTTGGCCTCACAGCGAACATATGCACACTTAACACTGGTTTTATGAGTAGCCGGATATCACACGTGCATGTGTTGGAGATAAGACAACTTAATTAATACCCATCTGTCTGTACACATCCGTCATGTGGAGATTGGTTACTCCACACCTTAGACCTCCATTTAACTCAAACTATGAAGTGTTATAACGGCGGCAATACAATTAATTCAGAAGAATTTGAAGAGTCATGGACCTTATAGATCTATACTTATGTCATATCGATGACTAGACTGAATATAAGGACTACTGTTTCACATTTTACCTGCAGTTAAAATACCAGTTAATAAATGTCAGATTATTATTCAGCCTTATTTAAATCTACCTATTCTACATGGACTTAGACTTATTACGGAAATCCTAAGCAGTCAAAACTTAACAAGGCTCAAACAGAAGTGAATGCAGAAATTCCTAGCATAGATTATCAACGTATCCTTGGCTACGACACTTTTCGGCAACGAAGGGGAGCTGATAACAACACCTAAGCTAGCAGTGGGAACTCATCTAGAAAAAAACAGAAGCACTGAGCTGAAGAGCGATGAAACACACTTCGCATAGTTCAACCCCTTTCAAAGATGAAATCAAGTGCTTAACACATCAAGTTACTTGACAAGTCGCACTACAGATACTGGTATGCATAAATAAACGTAGACATTAACACGGGAATCCAGAAGCATATCATAGCTAAGATTGTTCTCTCACCTATTTCCTCGTCAATATGCACTAACAAATGCTGAACAAATATACATATCCTAAGAATTTTAACTTTTCCTAGCTTTTAATAACTTGACTGTAGATTTCTCACTTTCATAAAAATGTAACCAGCAGCTATAGATCCACTACCAAGAATGAACGGCAACAACCAATCAGATCGTTCACCTTTCAAAATCCACTTAGCTATAAAAACTGGCTTAGCATGTCAACTAACAACAACTAGGAGAAACTACAACACATTCTTGCTCCAATCTTCATTTGGTCATGGTGCATAGTCCTTACGGTTACCCCTTGACCATCAGATACATCATCACATAGACACAAGTGATGTTCATCTTGTAGTAATACTTATACCGTATGGCTGGAGTATATTGACAGCAGGGTTTCGAGAATACGTCTATTATTAAACACAAGCATATGGTTACTTAAGTACACTTAGAAGTACTTATAACACATCACATATAAGAACGCGAGTGCTCCCAGTTAGGATGTCAATATACGCACGACAATACACCAACAAAGAAATTCAAAAGCCCGGTAATCTGTGAACAACACGAATACATCTAAACTGTTTCAAGCTAAACATGGAAGTAATTGTGTCCAGATAAAGAATGTTGACATTTCCATCATGTGTAAATCAGAAGACGAAAATTGCGCCTCAAGTGGGAAACTAACTTATAACACAAATACTTTGTTACGCTTACGACGGTTATGGTTGAAACAGAAATAATTTTATCAAGAATCACATCGAAATTAGTGCTAGTTGAATACAAAATCTGCAATACACTCAGATACTCAACACTAACCTTTCTCAACTTTCACAAATGTCAGTAGAGCATCAAAAACATTACGTGCACGACCACTCCCAGATGCAGACATCTTTAAATTGAATTTGAGTCACACACCCACAATTTTAAGATCATATGAAGAGATTATTCTGAACTATGATATTTTAAAAAATAACTATTCCGAGGAATTTAAGGCTGTGTTAGCATTTGTTTGTCTGATCCGGCACAGCAATAATGAGGGCGGATATATTAAGTCGCTGCGTTGCTTTTATTCACTCACACCTGGGGCCATAATTGCTACTACGTCATTACAGTTGATGTCTGTCACAGCAATATATTCCAGAAATTAAGTTGGTGCTGAAACAATGTCCGATACTAGCTTTCCAACAACTAGGTGTATAATTTCATTTTCTCGATAGAACGTTTTTATCTAATGGATTGCAACTCTCACTCATTAATTAATGTTCATAAACCGGAAAGTTTCGAAATACAATATGCATAACTTCATTGTATGTTGTTGTTTTCAATAGTGTATGCTTGTAATTCTGGACCCACGCATCACCAGAATTAACGTGTCCTAGGTTTCATGAATATCAGTTAACAGTGGTATTCTTATCTCTTCAAAGGTCCTGGAGGTAGTTAAAAGATCCTTATTCTATCGTGATAATTATTGTTCCGAGATAAATCCCACACTACGTCACGTTATAATAGAAATCTCATATGCTACGCTGCTTTCTGAGACCTTTTGCTCACTAAGTGGTCTTCATTTCACTAAACTTTCGTCCTCTAACATTTAAGACCAAATTATACGAACACTTCACTGCGAATTTTTTGTTGAATTCAATGTCTCGGTGTTTTTATAAAGATGGCGTATGCAGTTGATAGTGACAATAATGATTATCAAATGACACACAAAACACTAGTTTCTTTTAGCTCTGAGTGTATGGGCACCTGTGAATTGTGATAGCCTGCACATCTGAATGCACTACAAACTTCTACATTAGAAGCACCTGCCACTGAATATAATTTTTTGCGAATTACTTCACCGCTAGTAGATTAGCTCATGTAGAAGGCCAGTAGTTTTCTTTGTTATTTAAACGTCTAATTAGGATTCGTGGGAAGTAGCTATTTGCTTCCATTTGTACAACACAAGTTATGCGTGTCCCACATGCACATATAAACTGAAGCTAGTGAATTCAAATTTCTGAAAACGAGGTAACTTATGGTATTAAAAGCCTCTTGGAAAGAGCAACACCACGTAGAGGAACCATGGAATCGTGACGTATTCTATTCTAGGAAGTTCAAAAGATTGATATTTCGAGGGGATGACGTGTTGATTCTTATAAGCGTAGAAGTCATCGAAGTTAGTTACATAAAATTTCATTCAATACAGAAAACTCTGTATGTCTCATTTGGTTAATCCGAAAACATATATTATATATTATATTATCACTTCATCTGAATTACATCGACCTAGTTGTGTGGTGATAAAGACGTCCAGATCTCGACGAAACAGTAGTCTCCGTTACTTCACTAGTCAGACGACTGGTTATTTTTAGTATATGATGACATTCAAGAAACTTCTTCTCAATGCAGTAACATATGATTATTTCGATTTCCTTTAATTCCTAGAGGAACATATATATGATTGCACTAGGTGGCGACTCACACGACCAATGGCGTAATCCCCAAGAACTATCAAACACCATTATAACATTGATGACATTCAATTGTTGTGTTCATACTCTTTAACTCATTGAGTTGTGAAGCTGCAAGGCTTGGAATAAATGAAATTGTTTCAAAACATCTAGGATGCTTTAGCGAAGTTTAGTTTATAAGTACACAGGACTTCGCACTGAATTTAGTCGGCACATGTTTCCGAGTATTAAAGCACACGGGGATGTAAGTGTCTGTCTGTCTGGATTGAGGATTAGAGAGGTTTTGTGTGCATTTCGGATTGTGAGGGCGATTGTTACTTCCCGGTTGCCCACACCGTGGAAGTCGGTTGCGTGACCGCAGAGCCCAGGGGACAACTGCTTGAGGCCGGTCATACGCGGCCTGTTTTTGTTTGTTCTCTTTTGTTTGGTGTGCCTCAGTAGCATACTTACTGCTCCTGCTCTGTGACACGGCAGCAGGAAGCGCGGTCGTTGTTAATCCGGGCCACGGCCGATCCGGCATGAAATTTTGTGAATTTGTTTGAATCATGGTATTGGATGGGGTAGCTGCTTTTTGTTTAACCACTATCCAAACAACCTGCCTGGCATGGTAGAACCTCAAGAGAAATAAGTCTCAGCCAGTATAGCTTGATTAGGTCATTGCGATGTTCAAGCCCGACCACCACGTCAAGGTAGCAGCTTTCGGTCGGGGGGTGTAAGTGTAGCCATATTACATATCAAAAAGTCACTACACTCAGTCGAACATATTTCTTAGTGTTAGAAACCGAAGCTTGAAATATTTAGTAAGTTTCCTTATTGATATAACACTTCGTGAGTAATTGAGTGACTTCCTAACTTGCTTTACCCTCTCCTGTTGATAATTATCGCAATTTACCTCCTATTCAAGCAGTATTGAGGCGGTAAATCAGCCATTATTTCCACCACTCACATTAATCCAGCTGTTTTTCTTATAGCCTATAAACAATTTGAATGAATACTGCAAGGGAGTTATTCAGTAGCAATGTTTTTCTTATTTGTGTGATTTTGTCACGTAGATTTCCTTGGACCCTGGTCAACCTCCTGCCACGATTACATTAACATTTACTATCGGTGCGATCATGCAAATTCTAAACATCTACGTGACTTTGAATTTAGTTATCTCCAGAATTACTGACCTCGCTCATTCGAATAAACTAGAAACTAGCTGGGCCATTGTTGTCAATTTATTCTGACGTTATCACACAAAAGGCGAGATGATGTCAGAGTACCAAAGAGAAGTATAATTGATATAAGTATAAAACTTGGGCACTGTGGTGGAGTATAACTCCATTATGGATAAGATTTTATTTTGATCAATTACAATCAGTTGGGAAATAAAACACTCGTCTTATTTTCCATTTGATTGTAATTGATCAACAACACTCATATTATTATTATTTCTGAATGTACATTATCCAACATTGATGTTTATTCAAATATCTAGTCAATCCCACACATGCATATAAATGAAAGGAAAAAGTTGTGTGAGTAACTTGATATGATTATGAGTGGCAATAGTTTGTGCCCGAAACCCGGTCAACAGTTAATGTCACTGTATATGTGTGATTTATCAAAATAAAATCTTATCCATAATCGAGAAATACAATCACGTGGACAGATCCCAATCAGCAAATCTTGTTTCGTCAGATACATTAAACCTTTTTGAAATTTTTTTTTGGTTATAGCTTGATTCCACGCAGTACTTTCTGGTAGAAGTAAGGCATTTTCAGCATGTGATATCAGTAGCTAAATTTTTCAGGCCAACCACCAGTATTAGGTGTGTGTAAGCAGCGGATCGAATCCCGGACCATGTGCATGGTCGGCGAGATTACTAACCGCTGTGCTACCAACGCTACCGAAGCAATGTGTATCCCGGATGTGGAAAACTGAATTACATAGATATAGTTATCAGCGAGAAACTGTACTGGAAACATCATCCACGTATTAACACAATGTTGCATAAAATGAACTTATCCAAAGTGGAATTATACTCCGTTTCAGTGTTATTTTGAATCCAATGTGGTAGACATATTGATCACATCACTTAAGAAATAATTTGGAAAATATGTCTACGACGCTTTCAGTGTATCCACTGTTTCTTCCAGGACCTAAGTACTAATGTAGTAGAGTGGACTTTTCTTTAAAACAAGTCCAACTCTCTGAATAAGTGGACGAGTTAAACACATTATGCCGCGCTGCTCTCTAATTTTGACTGAGTTCCTACTTAACATTTAACAGATGGCGACTGCTAAGCTCTCCAAGGAAATTCTTCAGTATTACCACCTAATAGAACAGAAACTCAGCGCTTATCAATATAACCCTACCCTATTGGAAGGTTGAGGTTGCTTAATGCCAACTTAAGAGACCTGTATAGCCTTCGATTAGTGGCCATCTACGAACGTCTCCACACCATCAATAATTTGGTACGCATCTGTGTGTACCCCAAACACACTAGCCATTCAAGACAAAACTCCTAAAGTTTCCTAATCTTATGCCGTTTCTTTCTAGTTTACGCTTGCTTCCACAATAAAACCAGCCTGACCAATATCCCATTCCAACTGGGACTTGACTGTCTGCTAAACAAAGAACTATTTTAAACAAACTCATGTGAACTATTTTTCAGTCCTTGACACACTTTCGATTTCCAGTAATCATTTCGCTATATTCATCCCTAGTTCGGCTTCTTCAAGTATGAATAATCTGTCCCTATTACGTAACGGTCACGTGTTCGTTACGTGAGATGTTCGACTATCGACCAAAGGGCGGGTGTACTGCTCATCAGTCCGCTCCGTCCTCCTTTATGGTTGTGAGACCTGGCCACTGAGAGTGGAAGACATGAAAAGACTAGCTGTCTTTGATCATAGGTGCCTGCGTTCTATTTCCCGTGTAAAGTGGCATAATAAGGTGAGCAACATGGAGGTTAGGCGTAGAGTTCTAGGTAAACAGGGGAAATCAATCGACGAAGTCGTGAAGCTACAAAGACTGAGATGGTTAGGACATGTGTTACGTATGCCAAGCCATCGCCTCCCTCGACGAGCAATGTTCGCGGATATAGGGTCAGGCTGGATAAAAGCTAGCGGCGGTCAAACAAAAACTTGGCATCAGTCAATGAAATCCACAACAGTTGGTCTAAGTCACGTAGAAAGGTGTAGACTTCCAGGCTGGGGTCCTCGGGACGGTAAAAATCTATGGTTGGAAACAATTGGTGACATGGCTCAAAATCGTTCTCAGTGGCGCAGATGCATCCACTCCCTGTGACTTATGATCTTCAATGAAACTGTTTTGTATTTGCTTATTACTCCTTTGTCTCACACCTCTGCTCACTGTTTCTGTTATGCTTTTCTTGTACTTTCTTCTCTTGCTTCGCGTGCTACACGGAATGTGGCGACTTGAACTT